ACGGATAACTGGAAAGTTAGTAAACTTAGGTCTTGCACTTGTTGGGACATATCTGAAAATTTTAAATATTCCCGTAGTAAAATTTTAAACAAAACATTTAGGCGCTAATAATAGTGTAAGATAGATTCATTTTCCATCCTTTAATCAAGTCAACCTGTCCCGGATCAGCCTAGAATTGTTGCAACACAATTATCCATGCCTAACGTGTCTATCCCACCTTGTTTAATGAACTGTGTATGTGTGTTTTTACTTCGATCCGTTTAGTCAGACAGTTGAACTCATGACCCAATCAGAGTATTTTTGTGAACTGTTATTTTGCTGCCCCATGTCTTACTTTGTACTATTCTGTTGAGTTTATCTTATTTATTGATTGGTTAAGTAGCCAATTAAATTCTATCTGTGTGCCTATGCTCTGTCTACCTCTTACTTGGGTTCATTCTTCTACTGACTGCTTACCTGAACGGTCGTGTCTGATCCGGCTAGTTCGTAATTTTGGCTTTAACGTTATTTCGCTCTGAAAGCGGTTCCTTGCTTTCTGTTAAGCATTGTGTATTGTACTCTTGAAACCGTTAAGGTTTGTTGTATATATATTAATTGATTTGTTTATTAATAGTACCATAGAAACAGTGACCGGCTTCTTGTTTGATCTGGACCGGGATAGCCTTTATCTACACGTGACTTAATTTCAAGCGATATTGCGCTTACAAATAGTGTGCTTTCAATTGGATCTCATCATCAGGGTTAAGTCTAATATACCTACATAACTTGACAAATAAAAATTCAATTATAAACCAATCATCACGGTGTTTTGTCTAAAGGATAATAAGATCGTGCAGATAGATTGTGCAATTAGTCATAATAATAGTAACGATAATAACAATATGAATAAAGGTTCTATCAATAAGAAGGATGAAAAAGTGAAGTAGTGTGGGATAACACGAAAAATGAAAAACAGAATGATTAAACAAACAAGCAAATGTTGAGGTAGACGTAGTAGTCGATAGAGGCTAAGAAAAACAAATGAACCGAATAAGTAATGCTTTATTGAATGTAAGGGAAGTAAGTGAAACACGTTTTTAAAGAAGATGTGATAATACGATTAAGGGATGATAAGAGAGGGGTTGAAAATATAAGTAAGGTGGGGTGGTGGAGAAGTCACCAGTTGGTTATGTCTTAATAGACCAAGGGAAGGAGAATGGCTGTACGAACTTCTTTTGAATGCATAGTTTAGGTTTAATAATTAGAATTCCTATTACCTCAGATGTGTGCAGAAGACGAATATGAAGTCTGTTAGATAGATTTGGCTAGAGAATGACTTTCCAGGAGCATACGAAGAATTCCATTATGGGTAAATTTTATTTTGATAGAGTCTCACAGTGTTATACAGTAATATTTACTGATGACGTTTCGAGCACAATTTATTGCTCATAATCATATCAAGGTGATATGATTATGAGCAATAAATTGTGCTCGAAACGTCATCAGTAAATATTACTGTATAACACTGTGAGACTCTATCAAAATAAAATTTACCCATAATGGAATTACACTCTACCACAGTGCCCAAGTTTTATTCTTATATCAAGCATACGAAGAATGTTTTCCGTAGCAAACCTACGTTTGTCATTCTCTAACCGACGAATGATTGAGACGCAAGCTAAGGATAAGCGAGACATTTTTGCCGGATCTATGTGCATTTATCACTTCAATTGTACCTGTGGTGACAGTTATGTTGGGCGTACTATTGAACAGCTAAGCTAACGTGTTAGTGAACATCTCCAATCGTGGTGGTTTGGCAAAGGACAGACAATAATAATCCGTAGCTCCATTTTGCCACATTTAGTTGATAATGGTGGTCATGTAGGGGAGAAAATGAAAGCTTTCAAAGTAATTCAATGCATCCCACCGAATCTTTCCGATTGACTTCGTATTCGTCTATTGCACACCGCTGAGGCGATAGGCATTCGAATTATTGAACCTAAACTATGCATTCGAAAGAAGTTCTTACAGCCATTATCCCTCCCTTGTTGGTCTATTAAGACATAACCAACTGATGACTTCTCCACCACCCCACCTTACTTATATTTTCAACCCCTCTCTTATCATCCCTTAATCGTATTATCACATCTTCTTTAAAAACGTGTTTCACTTACTTCCCTTACATTCAATAAAGCATTACTTATTCGGTTCATTTGTTTTTCTTAGCTTCTATCGACTACTACGTCTACCTCAACATTTGCTTGTTTGTTTAATCATTCTGTTTTTCATTATTCGTGTTATCCCACACTGCCTCACTTTTTCATCCTTCTTATTGATAGAACCATTATTATCATTACTACTATTATGACTAATTGCACAATTTATCTGTACGATCTTATTATCCTATAGACAAAACTCCATGATCGGTTAATATTTGAATTTTATTCGTAAAGTTATGTAGGCATGTTAGATTCCATTATGGGTAAATTTTGTTTTGATAAATTCTCACAGTGTTATACAGTAATGTTTACTGATGACGTTTCGAGCACAATTTATTGCTCATAATCATATCAAGGACTTCCTATCATATCACGACTTCCTAAATTCATTTATATAGTTCCGTTGTTTTTCACTTGATTTGATTGGTAGTAATATTTTCCATATTTCGGGTATAAGTGATGAATCATTCCTATTACATGTGTTGGGTGTAGATTCGATGAACAAGGATTCAGTAATCAACATCTCTCTCCACCTACCTAGATTACATTTTAGAATTGCAACCCTCTCCCACCCTATTGTGTGGTTGTGTGCTAATGCACGCATTGCAATTGCTGAGCTTTTTCCTAAGTTACTTATCTTCTCTGGGTCAACCATTCTTACCTTAGCTAAATTCTTATGTTCTGACAGTCTGACTACCCCTGACCTACTAGTTTGACCTATGTAGTTGACTTAACTCACAGTCATTGCAGGGTATTTTGTAAATTATATTATTTTGTCTAATTAGGTCCACTGGGTCCTTTAACCTACAGAGCTTGTCCCTGTCAAACTAGTAGGTTAGGGGTAGTCAGATTGTAATAGGAATGATTCATCACTTATACCCGAAATATGGAAAATATTACTACCAATCAAATCAAGTGAAAAACAACGGAACTATATAAATGAATTTAGGAAGTCGTGATATGATAGGAAGTCCTTGATATGATTATGAGCAATAAACTGTGCTCGAAACGTCATCAGTAAATATTACTGTATAACACTGTGAGACTTTATCAAAACAAAATTTACCCATAAAGGAATCTAACATGTATACATAACTTTACGAATAAAATTCAAATATTAACCGATCATGGAGTTTTGTGTATAGGATAACAAGATCGTACAGATGAAAAAGTGAGGCAGTGTGGGTTAATACGAACAATGAAAAACAGCATGATTAAACAAGCAAATGTTCAGGTGAACGTAGTAGTCGATAAAGGCTATGAAAAACAAATGAACTGATTACGTAATGCTAGATTGATTGTAAGGGAAGTGAATGAAACACGTTTTTAATGAAGATGTGATAATACGACTAAGGGATGATGACAAGAGAGAGGTTGAAAATATATGTAAGGTGGGGTAGTGGAGAAGTCATCAGTTGGTTATGTCTTAATAGGCCAACAAGGGAGGGATAATGGCTGTGTACGAACTTCTTCTTTTGAATGCATAGTTTAGGTTTAATATTTCCAATGCATATCGCCTCAGCGGTGTGCAGTAGGCGAATACGAAGTCTATTAGAAAGATTAGGCTAGAGAATGACTTTCCAGTGTGGTGAGAGATGGTTGCTAGCCAAATTGGTTGACAGTAATTGAGGTCAATGTTAGTCATGTGAAAACAAGGTCAAGATGGACAGGCAGATACCGTTAACATATAGATGAACTGACACAGCCACAAAAGATGCAAGGTTAACTTTGTGTGAGAAACAACCAATCAACAGACTGTATTTTCTACTAACAATAATCTGCAATAATGTACATCAAAATCTTTAAATATGTGTTGATTTTCCGTAATAAACGTTCTGTTGTCTGGCCCTTGTTTTCTGTTGTTACACCAGGAGTATACGAAGAACGTTTTACGCAGCAAGGTTGGTGAAGGCGAATCTTGACTTTCTGATTCTGACTTGAACGTCTTCATCCATGCTGTCCAACTGCCTGTTGTTGAAACGATGCTTCCTAGATAAGTGATGGTGATTGGTGCTGGTCGTTTTTGTTGCTGTTGGTTGATTGGTTGGTTGGTTATCTTCATCACCACCGTCTTCTCTGTGTTCACTTGAAGTCCTGCCTTAGTTGCCAGCCTCCTCTACCAGTCTGTTGTTTCCAGCCAGTAGGTCTTCTAATTTGTGCGGCACTAGACCTTAGTCATCCACAAAGTTCAAATCTCCTAGAGTCTTCCTATCGATCTAGCCTATTCCTGTCTTCTCAATCCCACCACAGTATGACGCATAATCTAATCCACCACAATTAGGAATATCGTCGCTTATAGTAGTGGGAGGCCTTGTATTACTCCTGTATTCATTTCAAAGGCTTTGCCATGACATTATCATACAGCTGTTGAATATGCCTAATAAAGATTCGTGAAGATTCAATTCCATTTAAAGATGTAAGCAAAATAGATTTAGCAGTACAGCTTTAGATAAGATTATCATGAATGATGTTGAAATGGAAATCTTCATCACTGAAGGGTCAGAAACGATGACTTTTGAAATTAAGAATACATCCCTACCAGCCGTTTTTTAAAACTCGGATACTAGACAGCTTAACACATTGCTGCAGTTATTACCAGTCTGATTTTGTGGCTGGTAGGTTAATAAGCTGGTATTTGACTGTGGCTAGTACAAATCTACTGGCTGCCAAGATCATCATCATCCGAGCAAATCTCTCTTGCTCTGTGGACCAAGCACTTTAATAGATTGCGTTTGTATATCAAGTTTTTGGTTTTTTATGCATTAATAAATGACCATCAGTCGAACAACTAATGAAACTTACCGATACAAATTGATAATGCACAAAGCGGTTGAATAGCCCGTATCACTCGCTTTGATTTACGACTACTCAGATCTATAGAAATTGTAATACCTGTTAGAAAAAATAAAGTGAAAATCGATAGCAAATCAATAATACAGTTTCATTATCACATATTTTACATCTTTCAAGAAACCTGTGCCTGAAAGGAAGCAAATATTATCAGAGTGTAAGTACCAGACATATTGTTGATACCGGACATCTTGTAGACATTTCTAAATCTTTCAAAATATTATATAAACAAAGGACAGCAAACTTATTACGATTTGCCGAAGCGATCGCAACCAAAAGATTTAAACCAGATTTATGCATACAGAAAGAGTGTGATTACCCTCTCACTCCCTTGGTAACTGAATTTTGATTTTGATAACAATAATTAGTCATCTAATTCAGTGATCTCAACTCACTGAACCTACAAGCTAACGCTGTTTGTTTTGTTAATTTTTTTCTGTTTTCTGTCTTAATTCTCCCTCCCTCTTTTCAACTTTAAAAGCGTATAAATTGATGATAAAATCTTAAACTAAAAATTGTAATGCTTTCATTCTCTTTTGAATGCGTCAATTTTATCCCTTCTCTACTACCACTCAAACATTAAAGTATGTTATTATCATTTATATAACCATTGTAATTTCAGGTAGTCTACAGATGATGAGAACCTGTGAAATAGAATGATGATATCATTTTATACTGCAAATTTCGTCTTCCTTTCTTTATTGAAATTTATCAAGGGAACCAAATGTATGAAATACAGTTTCAATTAGTTATGGATTACTTCGATAGATCAAGTGTCAATAAAAGGATGATGTTCAAAAACAAGTGTGAAACAACCTTCGTGCATGACTGTGCGGATTTTCACCTAACTTATCCTGATTTAGAATGACGCTACGTCATGAATGAAGGATGTGGAGGGTGTAGTTATTACAAATTATTGATATAAGGATAAAACTTGGACAGTTTGATAGAGGATAACCCCATTATGGATCCAAATTTGTTTTGATAAAATCTCACAGTGGTGTTATGAGAAATATTTACTGATGATCACGTTTCGAGCACAAATTATTTATACTCAAAATCATATCAAGGCACAGACACTCACATAAATTTCCTGCTTCATTTATATACATGGGTAAAAATTGATGATTAGACATTTGAATAAAATCAATATGAGATAATGTACATTCAGAAATAATAATATGAGTGTTATCAATAAAAGACAATCAGATGGGAAATAAGATGTTTTCATAGTAAAATAAATAAATAACTTGTTAGAATGTTATAATGTATGTGAATTGAAATAGAATTTTAAGATTATTTATTATCCTCTGATTTGACTGGTGGTAATAATATCTTCCATATCTCTGGTATTTGCGTTAAATCACTTCTATTGTACTATGTGTTGGGTGTAGGTAGACTGGATGATCCAGGATTCGGTAGTCAATCTCTCCTTCTAACTACCTATATTACTTTTTAGAATTTCGACTATGTCCCACCCACTCTAATGTGTAGTCGTGTGTTAATACATGCAGTGCAAATGCTGAGTTTGTTTTTCTAAATTACTTATCATCGTGGGGTCAGTCATTCCACACAAAGCTAAATTCTTATGTTCTGATAATCTAACTACCCCCGTCCGATCTACTAGTTTGAACTATGTAGCTGACCTCAGCAACCACAGAGAATGCAGTTGTCAGAGATATGGAAGATATTATTACCACCAGTCAAATCAGAGGATAATAAATAATCTTAAAATTCTATTTCAATTCACATACATTATAACATTCTAACAAGTTATTTATTTATTTTACTATGAAAACATCTTATTTCCCATCTGATTGTATTTGATTGATAACACTCATATTATTATTTCTGAATGTACATTATCCTATATTGATTTTATTCATATGTCTAATCACCGATTTTTACTCGTGTATATAAATGAAGCAAGAAAGTTATGTGAGTGTCTGTGCCTTGATATGATTATGTGTGACCATAATTTGTGCTCGAAACGTGGTCATCAGTAAATATTACCTACTACATAATACTATGTGTGCGGCACAGCGGTTAGGACTCTCGCCTACCATGCACATGGTCCGAGGTTCAATCGTCTGCCGACGCACACCTGATATCAATTGTTGGACTGCAAATTTTGGACAACCAGTATCATAAGCTGTAAATTCCATACTTGTACCAAAAATACAGTGTGGAGTCAAGTTATAATAAAAAAAATTGTATCCATAATGAAGTTATTGCTAATTACTTTATTTATAACTTCGATTCAGTGAATGCTTAGTGATGAAATTATGTCAAAGAGTATTCGATTAAATTATGAACTGAGAGGTCCATTCAACTACTTGAAACAGCACATAACCAGCTGTAATGTGCACCTATTTTATTGAATACATTTCGACCTAGTCATGGCTATAATTATGCGAACAATTGCCACTGAAGTATTTATCGTGTAGGCCACGCAAAAGTCTCCCTACTCCGATTATCTTTTGATATAACGAAGTGTAGACTGTCAGACTGGGGTGCTCAGGTTGCTAGGAATCACTAGTTAGAGAATTTTGGTGAAATGTCTCAAAATCATTCCCAGTAGAACAGATATATTGTGATTCTGCGAATTCTGAGAATGTTAAAGCATCTTTTCATCAGGAACGTCGTTAGTTCAATGATAGAATGCTCGCTAATCACAAAATTAGGCTGTGTTTGACTCCTAAGCCTATCAAAATAAAATCTTATCCATAATAGAGTTATGCTCTACCACAGTGCCCAAGTTTTATACTTATATCAATAGTTTACTAGTTGATAGGGAACCCGGTGTATATGTACTCTACAAAGCTTAGGTATGATTTTAAGACGTTAGACAGCTGGCTTTCTTAAAGTGTCGAATAAAAGTAGAAACTGATAGTAGGTACGAAACTGACACATAAATGCTTTACTGAATGTAATAATTAATATCGTTATTATCAATATCACTATTACTACTGTGGTGAGTGCTACTTATAATCCGATATAAGTAGTATATCAGAAACGAAGTAACAATATGTTTGGCACACTGGAAAGAGCAATCAAAGAAGAGAACCATGAGAAGAATGTTGCCATATGATGCAGAATCCAAGAAGCTATCGAATGAGACGATATTCGACCAATTCGTCAAGGATGTGGTAAATGATGTGCAAATGGCCGGTTGAGAATATGGTATTCCAAATTTAGCTATGTACCATAAGTTTCATCAAATAAACATTCCTTTCAACCTCCTCAGGCTTGTCTTCTTTACACTACCATTATTCTTGATTTTATTAGGGCATTTATTAAGTTTTACGTGTGGATTGTGAATGATTTATCACCCATCCAGACGGACCTCTGGAAAATTTTATTACCACCATGAAGAATAGGAAACAATAAAGAAAACTGTAAACCGAAAGTCTAAAAGTTTTGTAATTATAATTGATGCTATGATTATGATCAATAACATATTGTGTTGTAAACTTTGTCATCCAGTAAATAAGACTGTTTCACTCTGTGTGATAAATATTATTATTATTGTTCCCTTGGGTTCCTAGTGGAACATAGGGCTTCAACTGCACGTCTCCACTTGTTTCTGTCTTCTGCTGTTCTTTTCACTTGCGTCCATGTTATTCCGTACTGTTTCATCTCCTCCTCACACGATCTCCTCCATGTCACCCTTGGACGTCCCACTCGCCGCTTCCCTTTCGGGTTCCACTCGAGGGCTTGACGCGCGATGTCACTCAACGGCCTCCTCAGCGAGTGTCCAATCCATCTCCACTTCCTCCTGCATATTTGTTGGGCGATTGGTTCCTGTTTCGTTTGTTCCCATAGCTTCTTGTTTGTGATTCTTTCTGGCCATCTAATCTTCAGTATAGAGCCAGCGAAGACAGTTGTTGATAAAGGTCTGCAACCTGTTGAAAATATTCTTGGTGACCCGCCAAGTTTCTGATCCGTAAAGCAAAATTGACTTCACGTTTGTATTTAAAATCCGAATTTTGTTGTTGATGGTGAGCGACGAAGATTTCCAGATTGGTTTCAGGTTGATGAATGTGTTTCTCGCCTTCCCGATTCTCTATTTGACATCCTCGTCCGTTCCTCCTGTGGTTGAGACAATGCTCCCCAGATAAGTGAAAGAAGTAACCTCTTTCAAATCCCTCCCGTTGATGGTGATTGGCACTGGATGTTGCTGCTGTTGTTGGTTGGTTATTTTCATAACCTCCGTCTTGTCTATGTTCACCTGGAGTCTTGTCTTTGCTGCTTCTTCGACCAGTTTGTCGGTTTTTGCTTGTAAGTCTTCGATTTTGTGTGACATCAAACATAAATCATCCACGCGCGAAATCCAGGTCTTCTCATCGGTCTTCACGTCGGTCAAGGATATCCCTGTCTTCTCGTTTCCCACTGTTTGACGCATAATCCAGTCCACCACAATTAGGAATATCATTGGTGATAATAAGCACCCTTGTCTGACTCCTGTGTTTACTCCAAACGCTTCGCTGAGTTTTCCGTTGTGGATCACTTGACATGTGCTGATGTCGTACAGTTGTTGAATAAGGTTGATGAATATTTGGGGTACGCCGTAGTACTGGAGTAGTTTCCAAATTACTTCGCGGTCAACGCTGTCGAAGGCCTTCTCAAAGTCTATAAAGTTGAGGTAGAGATTTGATTGCTATTCCATGCTTTGTTCTATGATAATGCGTAGAGTTGCAATTTGGTCAGAACATGATTTGCCTTTCCTGAATCCAGCTTGTTCTGGTCGGAGTTCTGTATCCAGCGCGTCCTTGATTCTCTCCAGGATGATGCGACTCAGGATTTTACTTGGCGTCGACAGGAGCATGATTCCTCGCCAGTTCTTGCAGAGTCCCAGGTCGACCTTCTTTGGTAGTTTCACCAGGTAACCTTTCCTCCAGTCAGTAGGCACCTTTCCCTCTTTCCAGATCTTTTGCAGTAATGGGGTCAGCATATCTGCTGTCGTCTCTGGGTCCGCTTTCAGTGCTTCAGGGGGTATTCCATCTGGTCCAGCTGCTTTTCCAGCTTTCAGAAGCTTGATT